CTGGACCACTTATCCAAAAAAAAAAAAAAAAAAAAAAAAAAAAAAAGTGTATGATGTGTTACTTATTCTCCCTCTTAAACAGAATAAAGAACAAAAAAAAATAATAATCAGCTGGAAAACAAATCAAGATAACTCATTTAACAATCGTTTCAAACCAATATAGGTACATTTAAAAAAAATTAAGTGCAGTAAGTTTAAAAAGGTTAGGGCCAAAATCAAGGCAGCAGCACAAGTGAAGCACAGATTTATTAAAAACGTTCGTAAAAACGGAGGCTTAAGTACAGGTGGGTGGGACTGGGAAATAAAATGGGTTAGGTGAGAAAAGAAAAAAAAGAAAAAAAAAAGTAGATACAAAATGAGAACTTGCGGTCAACAGACTACAAGCAGAAGGACATTAAACATTAAAAGGCCATAAGACAAATTAAACAGCATCAAGTCAAGTAACCTTTTATTTATATAACACTTTATACAATAATTGTGTCAAAGCACCTTTACAGTGTTAAACAAGAAAATAGCTCTTCAATGCGAGAGGACAATAACAGTCACATTCCAGCTAAGTCTAAACCTAATTAATGCAGCATAAGAACGGATTTGAATTATAGAATTGCAATATTGTATATGTATGCCAAGTTAAAGAGATGGGTCTTTAATCTACATTTAAACTGATAGTGTGTCTGCCTCGCTGTCACACAACAGAAGACAGACAGCTAAATGAAATAAACCGTTTTATTGAATGGCTGACACAGAACAGGAATGAGAATGAAGCAACATTAGGTATGGCAGCTTAATAGAGCTTGCTATGACGTCGCTGAATAGTAACTGAATGTCTATCTTGCAGATGCAGGAACGAACACAGAGGGCAGGTAGCAGATGACTGAAGACAAGATCCTGGAGGGTAGGCGAGTATACAGATGAGTAGCAGGTAAGGTTTCTGTTAGAGTAGGAATGATGAGAACAGACAAAAGGAGTGCAGTTTGTGTGTCTTTATAGTGAGTGCTGAGGAGGTGTAGCTGAGCGAGAGAGCGAGCGTGAGATATATATAAAAATAAAAAAATCTGTGCACACGAACACAGGATATAAAACACATGAATACAAACAGGTATTAAAAACCCAGAACCAGACACAAGCACCATAAACAGCACAACAACAACAAAAAAAACACAAGAGCACAGACACACAAGAGTCTAGAGACAAAAGTAACAAGTAAATCAATCAATTTATATTTCCAAGGGAAACTCTTCGAAGATTGTATGGAAAAAGCAATTGCCCATCCAATTCTCAGCTGGACACCACCACTACTACCACCTCACTTTCTGCGACACCTCCTTAGGGAAGGAACGCAGCAAGGTAGCTGCATAGCACACTCCACCACGGGTTGGTTAAACGAGGATTGAGAACGAGAACAGGACAAATCTACTGTAAACTCCCATATAATTTGAGCAAAAGCCTGGTGATTGTAGGTCAGCACTGAGACTGCATGATACCAGTGTGACATCATGCACAATACAAACTGCACAGATGCCAGATGAACAGATACAACAAACGGCAAACCAGGTACACTGGCACCATCTTGGAAAGACTTTGGACAGTTGGTTTACTGTGAAAGCACTCCACACTTGCAAATGGTCAAACCGTAAATAAGGCTTTGAAGCTTGGCAATCAGGAGAAGACACTTATCTAGGGGAGTGCTGAAGTTGTCAGACAAATGAGCTGCCATCAGAGAACATGACAGAAGGAAAACACCCAACTCAAAGCTGCACAACTGAAATGGGACACATAGCAAATGTCAAGTTAAGGTTGCTAACTACATGAAAATTCTAAAGCATTTTGCACAGAATACATATTCAACTATTAGAGAAAGAAACCGGTTATCCAACACTTCTCTGTTTCTGCTGAGAGATCCGCAAGAAAGTTGGGGAACAGAGCAGACAGTATAGAAATGTCTTATATACAGCCTCAGTTGATAGATTTGTACTGGTAGATTCAATTCTTCAAGTTAGATCTTAACAGGCTGAGACGTCTGAATAAATGTTAATGCTGTAAGGGCACAAGTCACTGACCAAGGACAAAGTTCAAAATCAAATTTTAAAAGCAAAAGATAAAGAAATGGCAATATAAATGCAACCAAATACAATCCTAACTCTCCTAGTCCCATTACCAAAGCAAATGCTTCAGTATTCAAAGTATGGTTTAAGACCTTAAAGATCAGGTTCTTGAAATGAAAGCATAAGAGTACAGGAACATAAGTGGCATAAATAGTCAAGTATACTTCATGTACAGAAAGCATCTCTTCAAAAGTAATTTTAAAGCATTATAGCTGGACTTATAAAAGCATTAAAAAAAAAAAAAAAAAAAAAAAAAAACACCGCGCACACCCCAAAGCAAAAGGGAATAACCCTAATGATAGACAAATTGCATATGTAAAGGGCACAAAAGGTAAATAAACCGAAAGGGGCAAAATAAAACACGTAAATGCAAAAGTCACTAGTGGCAGGCAAAATACAAGGGAAACTGTATAAAAACAAGGGCATAGGCCGATGGGGGCACAAACACCAAACAAAGCAGTATCAATACAAATGGCTTATGTACAAAGCTGATGTACCGTCGAAAACTCTTCAAAAAATGATTTGCACAAATTGGACTCAAATGCAAGACTACAAAACGTATTTTAGTTTGAAGCCTTTCTCTTGTATACTAGTAAGAAGCACAACAGAAATGTGGAGTCTCCATAAAATGTTTGACTAGCAAGACAATAAAACAAAACGATTTAATTTGAAGCTTGGAAAAGTGTAAATAGTTTAAAGTTTGATTTCTGTTGTAACCGGACAAATTAAACCTAAACTGTTACACTGCCATTTCCAAGGATTTGACGAGTAAAACCAAAAACTTGCAAAGAGATTGTAGACAACCACTAGACTTTAGTCAAAAGACTTCACATTGGAACTGCATGAAGTGCAAATCTGATTGCCAGGTTTGATGCTGCATTTTCTTTACCGAAGAGGATTTAAAAGGATTATGAAATATTACATGACGCATAAGCAGAACAAACGGAGTTTGTTCAAAAAGAGTTGAGATTACAATTGGTAATTTTGCACTTCACGTTTGTACATTTGCATAAAGATTTCAACTCAGTTTGAAACTGGACACTTCTTACAACTTAAGGTAAATGTCTAACATTTTGAAACAAGTAGTTTTTAAAATTACTGAATCATGGACAAAGCATAGAATTCTGCTGTCTCAAATTGGCCACAAAGGGGCAGTCAAGCGGAACAAACATAAGAATAGAGTCTGAACAGACTCAATTTGAGAGCCAAAATTGCCAGTCAAATGAAAGAAATAGACATTAAAAAAAATGCATAAAGCAGACATAATATATCACTCAAACTGTATTCAAGAGTTTTAGCTGGATGAGGAAAAAGGAGAAGATTGGCAACAGGACTTTGATTGAAGCTATTGAACATGGATGAAAATACTGTAAAATATGGGGACACTGAACTGGGCGACCAGGTTTCTTAACCTTTCAGTTGAAAGAACCATGCTGTGTGCGCTTGATTCTTAAATTTGAAAGGAATTAAAAGATAAAATTGAGTTTATAAACAAACACTGCTCAAGTGCCCTTACGTGAAACATTTGAAGGACGAAGACTGCAAGAAGAGAAAGACTGCACATTCAAAAGAGCCGTTCCACATTCAGCAGTTGTGAGAACACCCCCACTACTACTACTACTACAACAACGTGTGGGTACACTGGGGCCAGAAACCGAGAATGCATTCTTGTTATAGTTCCAGTCAGGGCCAACCCAAGCCTTTTTGTCTGAAGGAAAAGTTTGCCCTCTGATCTTAGTCCCCTCTTTGAGTAGGGGTGGAGTAAATAAGACTGAGCTCAATTGTTCAGTGATTTATAGACCAGTAGCAATATTTTAAACTCAATTTGATAGTGAACTGGCAGCCAATGCAATGATCGCAAGAGGGAGTGGCATGAGCACATTTTTTTACACCGCTTCAGGAATCTAGCTGCTGCATTTTGAACTACTTGTAGCCGAGAGATTTGGGACTTTGATATTCCGAAATAGAGGGCGTTGCAATAATCCAGCCGAGACGTAATAAAGGCATGGATCGCAACCTCTAGAACGCTTTTTGAGAGAAATGACTTGATTTTAGAAAGGGAGCAAAGATGGAAGCTAGAACCTACTACAGCACTAATTTATCAAATTTTAAGGAATTATCAAACACACCCAGATTTCGAACTTCCGTTTTATCTGGGTTCAAGAATAGAATGTTTTTAGAAAGCCATGATTTGACATCAGTAAGAGTACCAATGGTAAAGTTTGTTTTCTTAGTCAGAGGCAAATAAATTTGTTGGTCATCGGCGTGACAGGGAAAAGAGACGTTGTGTTTTCTAAAAATAGAGCCCAGAGGAAGATGGAGAAGAGAGCGGGAGATAAGATAAGCCCTGAGGAACTCCACAAATTGGGTTGCCTGTGGTCGAGTGAAAACTGCCCGTTTTTTACCACAAATCTCCTGTTTGTTAACGTTACCAAACCCACAAGAGTGGTCAGGTGTTAATTTGCATTTTAACATTCAAAGTCTTACAGTATTAAGTGGCATGCTTAATGTGGTGCACTGAAAAGTAGCTAAATAAACCAGCAGACAATGTATTTACTGTAAACAAGTTCTCCCGTTAAGGCTCCACTGTAGTGCCTGTGGTACACTGTTTTTGAGGGTTAACTGACCACACAAAAAAAAAAAAATAAAACACACAATCCTAAACATCACATTTATTTGGATATACTTCTATATACACACACACTATTATATATACACACACACATTCCGGGTTACAAGTCAGACTCTCTAACCATTAGGCCACGACTGCCCCTACAGTATGTATATGTATATGTATATGTATATATATATATATATATAAAAGAAAAGCTGAAAAACTCTTTTTCAGTGTGTTCAAAGTTCTATTACTCCAAGACTTGCAGAGATTGAGGTAGTGGAAATGTCGGCCATCAGGTTTAGGGCATGTGAACTTTTCCTTTATAGGAAGTGGCCCTCTGCTTACTAGATCAGTCCTTTATGGAGTCGGACAGGATAGAGGACTACTCCGCTGGTTAACTGGAAGAGCTGCTGATCCATAGTGTAGGTTAAAAGTTGCTAAGGGAGTACATGTGACATTGACAACAATAACCACAAATAGAATGACCTTAAATAAATACATAAACAATTAGGAATATTAAATAGCACAGCAGCCATTGTATCGGTTATAATTTATATAGAATAGCATGTTATTAAATTACCTGCCACATCTGTTGAGGTTGAAAGACATGGAAGGAACAGTAGGATCAGTGGACGCAGGTGCTGGTAAAGTGCTCCTCAACTGCAGAGGATGGACCGAACGAAAGATGAAAATTAAATTATAAAAGTTAGCAATGTTATGTCATTAGAAAGTAATGCAACAGTTATATTTAAAATAAAAATCTAAATCTATGTTATGGGGAAGTCGTGGCCTAATGGTTAGAGAGTAAGACTCGTAACCCAAAGGTTGTGGGGTTAGAGTCTCGTACCAGCAGGGATTGTAGGTGGGGGGAGTGAATGTACAGCGCTCTCTCCCACCTTCAATACCATGACTGAGGTACCCTTGAGCAAGGCACCGAACCCTCAACTGCTCCCCGGGCACCGCAGCAAAAAATGGCTGCCCACTGCTCCGGGTGTGTGTGTTCACTGCTGTGTGCACTTTGGATGGGATAAATGTAGAGCACTAATTCAGAGTATGGGTCACCATACTTGGCCACATGTCACCAAAAAAAAATTAAAAAAAATCACCAAAGGCATGGGTTACCCATATAACTATTGATTGTTGAAAACTCATCTGCTGTATCAGCTGTAGCGCTAGCATTTGGGGCTGGCGGCATTGGTTGTGCCCCACCTCCAAAATATTTCAGAGCTCCTAGGGGGATGTTCATAAGAATATAGTTAATGTAACAATGTTATTGTAACAACAAATTAAACACAGCAAGCCATCTGTACACAATCTTAAAATCTATTGCCAAGTGAGGATTTATGATATCGGAATAGAAGGGAAATGTGGCCAAGTATGGTGACCCATACTAGGAATTTGTGCTCTGCATTTAACCCATCCAAGTGCACACACGCACCATGAAATGGGGGCCCCAAGCAGCTGCTTATTTTAGTTCTGCTCCTCACCACATACACAAAATTGGTTAATCAGAGGCTGGTGGGGAACATGCCTCAACCAATAAAAGAAAACAATATGCACAAACTGACAAACCAAAGCTGAAGTTCAAGCAGTTGACAATTTCCTGAAGAAAGCTCTCCACATTCACAGAGATCAAATAAGGAGAGAAGAACTTATTAGGATTGAGACTTACCTAGATGAGTGCTGAAGTTGTCCGTGATCAGGACAGTCGGTTGGGGAAGGATGTGTAAATCAAAGAACAGGACAACATGACATCCAACTCTACCTCACCTAGGAGACATAGTAAATGTTAAGTTGATGTTGTCAGGTTGATGTTAACTACATGAAAATCAAAAGATTGTTGCATATACACAATAGATTTTGGTGATTACTGAAGAAATTAAAATGAAATCTGCCGTTTGTGTCCTCCGGTCAAGTCAAACACAGGATGTGCAACATCTGGAATAAATCCAGCATTAGGACGCTGGAATTGCCAGACAGCAGTGAATTGGAAGGGGGGGTGGCTACAAGACATTCAGCAGGAATAATCCAGGAGACAAACAGCAATGTGCCTAGAAAGCATTAATATTAGTGTAGTCAAGGAACAACAATATTGTGCCTTTTCTGCACCCTTGTTCCAAGAACATTTGCTGGTAGACCCTCAGGTCTTCACAGAGGTTTGTTCACCAAAACAAGGAGAGCCTCACACGACAGGCTGACACTTCTGGATTCGTTTTAATACTGTAAGGGAACAAAAACACAAGTAGGTCACAGAATATTTCTGCATTAAAGCAACATTAACTTTACCTGCAAAAAGTACTAAAACAAATGCAACCCTAACAAATGGACAGACTACAAAAGGCAACAGAATTAAAAAAATAAAAAACACATGGGCATAAAAAAAAAGGTGTGTGTGTATGTATGTATGTATACATGTATATACATACACACACACATATATATGGTAAAGTTTAATAAAATTACAACACCTCGGAGGGAAAAAAGGGGGGTCTTTAAAACCGTTTTCCACAAGCCCCGTCAGACTGAAACAAGCAGCACAGCAAAAATGTGGAGAACCTTGCAAGCAAAGCAGTCTGGAAAAGAAAAATAAATGTTTAACATTGTTAATATTTACTTATTAAATTCAATGCACCAGTGATCAACCATCACTAAAGCTTTTTGTAAGTGCACATTGCTAAAGATTTGGTTATGTAGGGGTGTAAAATTACAGAACAAGCATAACTGGCTTTTGATTTTGCCTTCTGTTCTGCTCCTTACCAATTACGACACCTAACGTCGGTTGATCAAAGGCTGTATTGACCCATGGCTGTATTATCCATAATGTGGTTTTAACCTGCTAAATTCAGAAGTCATAATTCTGGGGCCCGTTCTTCATACCTCGCTTAATACATCTGAGATTATTTGAAATCGGGCTGCACGATTAATAGAAATTAATCACAAAGGTGATAAATCGTGATTAGGCAGAAACTGCGATTGTCATGCGTATCTTTCAGTGACGCAGGGTTCTGTGATCAGTAATAAATCTCCATCCGAAGGGCGCTCTCGTGCTGAAACGACAAATACACCCCACAGAGGAAATCCTGAATAAACAGAAGATTTTCTGCTTTCATTGATTCAACGAGACGATAAACCATATATTGTAGTTTGTTTATTAGAGTTAGTCTTATTATATACTTTGCATTATTATAATTTTGATTATAATATAATGCTAATTGACAGCCTTTATCACTGCTTATAATACTATGAAATATGTTGCGTGCCTTACTCTGTGAGAAGCCACATCTTACAGAAGGATTTGCTTCAAATACGCTTCATAACGTCAGTCAAGTGTTTGGAGTAAAAACATTAAACGTGGTTCTCACGTGCTTTCAAATGGAGCATCATTTACTACACCGAGCCATAGTTCACGGAGCAGCTACGCAAACAGCTCAAAAAAAAAAAAAAAAAAAAAAAAAAAAAAAATGACAATAAAAAAAACTTTTTATATTTTTTTTAAAAAATATATAAAAAAAAAAAAAAAAAAAAAAAAAAAAAAAAAAAAAAAACACGATTTCATAATCCCGCAATTAAATCACCTGCAATTGAACGTGATTTTGCATAGCTTGTTAGTGAACTATGGCTCAGTATAGTAAGTGCTGCTCCAGCTGAAAGCATGTGATGGAGATTTACTACTGATTACAGAAGAGGCTTTACTGACAAGATGCACATGACAATAGCGTTCAATTAATAGTGCAGCCCTAATTTGAAAGATGCCAGATCTACTAATCGTGATAAGTGATATCTAGCTAATTTGGTTCAAACTAATTTGCGGATTTGATTAAAATATCTGGTTTCAGTGGTCTAAGATTACAGTGCGTTCTAGTGTTCCCCAAAAAGGGGTAGATGTATCGATACTCGAAACCACGATCAGCAATTGGCTGGCGGCAGGACAGCAACGTAAATGACATCATATAAAAGGTCCAGAAGTTAGTCAAGTCTCATCAGGTGTCTATAAGTAAACAGTCACGTGAACAAAACTACAAAAATGTTATAATAGATAAATGAAATGTGCACGGTTTACATTTTATTTTTAATTTACATGATTTCTAGTATTTTTACTTCAATGTTGTAATTCGCAATTCATGTCATTATATTTGAAGCAGATTTGTTGTGACCGTATTAAAGTTTCTTAAGGGTCAAGACCAAGTTATCTGCGTCTCCGGCGCTTCATCAAGCCACGTACTCCCATAATAGCCGTCATCACTCAAATTAATGCATGACTCCGATTAATTGTATAACATGCGTGTACGACTCAAATACAATTATAAAAGTAATTATCACAAACAAATTTAAATGAGTAAAACTGTCTGTCCATAGTATTATAGATTACGCAACATTATATTATTTTCAAATTAATTTAATCATCATTTTAAATTGTCCCCGGATTAGTAGGGTACTCTTGTAATAAAGTAGCAGTGGCTGGGATAGACTTTAAATATCAATTCCACTTAAGGATGCAATCTAATCTCGTTTACATGAAATAAGCCTGCTCCCGAGCAGGTTTAAGCTTACGGACCTGTTGCTATGACAGGAAGTCCAGGATGAGCTTTGAAGAACTAAATAATCCAAGATCATGCCAAATCAACTATCAAACCCAGTTAATGACGTACGAAGAACGGGCCCCAGGTATCAGTTAGTTAAGTGCACTTAAACATTCTCATTTCCAATGGAAAGTAAAAATGAAGCTAAAAGAGCTTGGAACGCTCCAGAATTCATCTGAATAAACCTCACGTTAAAGTCATCTACAAGCTGACTGCCATCAAGGATAAGAGCACATTTAGCTCCTCCAAGATGCCCAGCTGACCTGAGGACAATATGGCACGAAGTTGGCGTTGAAAAAAAAAAAAAAAAAAAAAAAAAAAAAAAAAAAAAAAAAAAAAATCGCATTAATTCAAAAGGAGCTATTTGCATTGCCCTTCCTGGTTTTGATGTGGGCTCTGGGACAAACTGCAGATATGTCAGCATGTCCGGTAGTAGAATTCACTCTCTGCTCACCTTTGGCTTGACAGAACTGGTTTCAGCTTCAGGGTTATGACTGTGCCAGACAGCAGTAAAAACAAACAGAGGTGATGTGCACAGAAATCAGTACATAGGAGACAAGAAAAAAAAAAAAAAAGTTCTGTACACCAAATAGGTGTACGTGCTTGGTTCTTTAAACTCCAAATACAAAGCCCATGGTTACAATCTAAAACTGACATTTTGACGGAGTACAACAAAGCTCATGTTGAAAGTGCAAGCTGTAATTTCTTACCTTCAGATGTCAACCAGATACAGCTGGGCTTGAATTAAAGCATTTTTACTTCCATCAGGGCTTCTTGAAGAGACTGCAAACATTTAAACAACAACAAAAAGTTCACAATAAGGGGAAACAGTGATGAATAATAAAAATCACGACGTATGGTTCCTTTACAAAACCGAATAACACCCAATCACTACACCAGAGCAACTTGATTGGTTGCAGTTGGCAGCGATGACCCAAATGAACCATTCTGCTTTAATTTTCCAGTAACACACCTAGCATTGTTTTAACAGAGGCTGCATTGAACGGTGATAGCATTCATCTTAAAGCTGTTGCCCCAGCAACGAGACCAATATGCCATGTGTTGGAAACATTGCAAGGGACAGTTCAAGAGGGACTCCTCACCTAGGCAGGTCCTGGAGAATGTTCCTATGGCCTTGTCAGTACCTGATTGTAACAATGATTAAAATAACTCCTTAAAAGAAACAAGAATATTGAGGCTTCTGTATAAATGAGGTACAACTGTGAGTTGTAGCATTTAGCCATTTAAAAAGGTCAAACAAGGCTAGAAGGGCTTCGAACTCTTGCATGAGCCACATCAACATGGACAGCAAAGCCAATGAGTGGGCATCAATCCTTAAAGGAGAATAACATTACATCCAGCTCCATGTTGTCCAGCTTACCTAGAAAACAAACACCACAAACTGAAGTATTCATAATTGTATGAGATTCAAGACCATTGTACAGAAGGGAATTTCCAAATTTTAGAAACATGCACACCTGTTCTCCAACACCTCCCTCAAAGTTGATAGAGGGTGGAGTCACTTTGTCATTTGCTCATCTTGGGCTTTGACTGGGACCTAAATTTGACCAGAGTATAGCAACAGACTTCTGAAAACGGTTTCATTACCAACATTGTTCAAAATGTTTCGTGTTCAGAAGAAACTCATTGTGAAGTTGTCAAACTTGGAGTAAGAGAAAAGTAATTTTTGGGTGAACTATCACTAACTCTCCATAGGACACCTCTGCACGAAATTCAAACAAAAGGAATGTTAGTGCAAAACCCAAATAAACAATATAACTTACTCATCTAAACATTCAAAAGACTACCATCAATTGCAAAACCACAAACTGTCAGACAATAGCACTGCAGACATGTAACGAGAGACTTCGTAAACACTGAAGACTATTTTTCTCAATTAAAACCTAACCAAACAATAACCGTTATCAATGCAACAGACCAACCATCTTTATAGTTCTTCCTTGCGCACATTGATAAAGATTTGCAGCTGCTTCTATACACATATCTGTAGTCCTAAGTTTTGGGCACCCCTATACATCTGATATCTGCACTTAAGTGGCAGCGAATATACATGGACAACCTCCTGTTTGCCGCTTTACGAGTCTCCTTACAAAGTAGTACTCCTAGTATTGTAGGAGCAGAGGTGCCACTGACTCCTGGTTTTCAGTGTGCTCATTGTATCAAAGTTGAGTTTCAATCAGAGTTCAGTGAAGATAAGTTCCACATTTCCGAAGGCTAGGATTACTTATCTGGGTGTCTGTGGTCTCTCCTGGTGGCCCTTCAGGCATAGTCAGAAATTTGCACAAATTTAACTTGATTGTAAACTCAATGGATTAAAACAAATGCATATAGGTTTTTACTTTCATGTACAAAATGTACAAATAAAAGGGTGATTGTTAAATGCATTGAGGTCCAGCTGGTTGTCTGGCTTGAGTTTCTGTAGTGTGGAGCCATCTGAGGTCGAACAAGACTAGAAGGACTTGGAGTTGTGAAAAGAGACTTACCCAGGGAAAGGGACTCAAGCCACCAATGGGCTGTTAAGACAGGATAGCAGCATGCTGATCTCAGTTGTTGCATTTTGAAGTTACAGCCAAAGACACGCACAAAAAAACCTTAGGAAAATAGCAACAAGTACAAATTGAACAGCTGATTTTTTCCTGTACAATAACTGAAATTCAAGATCTCAAAACTAAAATCACTAAAACTACATGGACTTCCCATCGTCTCACATGCATGCATTTGTTGCACACATACTCACGGTCCACAATGGCTGTGCTTAAAGTAATTCAGCTGGTTGAGGAGTGTGGAAGTCTGCCAGAGTACAGAGGGAGTTGTCTCATCTCCATGTCCAAATGTGACGCTTTGAGTGGAAAGGTGAAGTCAGCATTAACAGCCAACCAGCAGCTGTACAATTGGTCTATGGGTGCAGTTATACTTCTGCATTTGGTAAACAGGGATGTATTGAAGTCACATGGGGAGAATAACATTCACCCTCATTGAAGAACTTAAACAGGTTCAAAATAACCTTCAGAAAGAAAACGCTTTCCAAAGCAAGACTGGTTGACAAAAGACTTTACCTTGGTCCAAGGCTCAAGCATACCATTTGAGAGCAAGAGGCTGGATAGTGTTGCATTAGTTGACCTGTTGATGCAGGGACTGATATAGTCAAGGAAGAAAATTTAACTGAAGCAACCAATACTTACATCTCAGTAGGTGATTAAGTTGCATAGTGTAAGGATGGTTTTCCTACGGTGGTTCAGGCTGTAGGATTGCCGAATGACTAAAGAAACGTTATCAGCACGATGGTATAAAACTGTACATTTCTAGTCTGTTACCACCCACTGCCACTTATACCAATGACGGAAATAAGCGCAGTTAGAATAGCTACATATGTGGGAGAGCGTTGCTATTGTGTGACTATTGTATTGCAATAGGTAGCACTTTAAGATGAACCTTGAATCAAGACTAGTTAGCACATAATTAATAATTGAAATGGTTTAATAACAATATTTTATGGTTACACTTGAATTGGTTACAAAATAGATGAAGGATGGTAAAGCATAGTTAATTGTACCCAACATGTAAAATATTACCTGAGAGAAAGAGATAGAGAGAGGAAGAAAAAGAGGGAGAGAGGGCAGAGACCCAAGAAGAGAGCCAGCCAAGGAAAGAGACAGAGCAACAGTTACAGTCCTCTTTTATCCCTTCCTTGACCATGTGACTAAAAACCAAATGTGAGACATTCAAACTGACCAATCAGCAGATTACAACTTCACCCACTGGGCAAAAGGTGTGACAATTAGCAGACCCCCAGTGTATACACATGTTGGCCTACAGGCCTTGATCACTATCAGCACCTCTGTGCCTTCAGGAATTCCAAATGGCCCTTTTGTTACTGAAGATAGGTTTGGGACAGGAAAGCAGAAGTCTTTGATAATTTTTGACCTTACAATAGAACTTGCGGTCAACTCTTGACTTGGTGGCAGTTGGCATCAAGAAATGCATTTTGGCATGATTAGGAAGTCATGGCATGATACTTAACCTGCCCAGTTGAGTGGGAAGTATGGAAGAAAGGTCCATAGAGGGCTAATACAGTTGCAGTGTTACCTGGAAACCAATATTTGTCAAAGCCTGAATGTTGCATTGTCACTGACTAGCAGAAATAAAAAAAATAAACAGGGATGACAGCTTTGTTGCTGGCTGCCCTACATAGACAGTCCAAAAGAGAGTGAAAGGCTGTGGTTGAGTACCAAGACAGCATAAGATATTAGAGAGAGCATTTGTCTACAGAGGCATTTAGACTTCAATAAACAGGAAATTAAAGAAACAGACAAGCGGGGTTAAGTCACTTTAACTTTCTCTATAAATATATGAAAAAGCATACACAAGGTGCCACTGACCATCCATGCTACTATGTCCTTTCAGCTTAAAAGGGAGGGATATAGTGGTGGCAGCACAGACAAAGCAGTTTAATATCAATATATGTCAGTATAGGGTCTAAAACTATGGTCACATCAGTGATAAGATGCGAGTCATGCTGATGCTTAGAGAAAAATAAAATAAAAATTCACTTTATAATAGCACCATAAGACCGGTGAACCCAAAGGGCCATTGATATACAACAGGTATAAGCCACAAAAGTAATAACAGCAAGACACAAACAAGCAACACTCAATTTAGAACTGCCTACACTCTAGAAAACAATTTCACCTGTTGGTGCATGGTGTGATAAGATGCGAGTCATGCTGATGCTTAGAGAGAAATAAAATAAAAATTCACTTTATAATAGCACCATAAGACCGGTGAACCCAAAGGGCCATTGATATACAACAGGTATAAGCCACAAAAGTAATAACAGCAAGACACAAACAAGCAACACTCAATTTAGAACTGCCTACACTCTAGAAAACAATTTCACCTGTTGGTGCATGGTTCCTCAGAAATTCAGATCTAATATAAATCACAAATACCAAAATGTTTAACCTCCCCAAATGCCACAGTGAAGTAAACTGTTTCTTATAAAATGCCCAGGAAAGTGAAGCTCTGCATTTGAGCTTGAAAGTCTTACCACTCATTGTACAGTCATAGCTCACATTACAATAAAGAAATGTTTGCCACGGTCATAGCTCTTCTAAAATAATTATTCCTTAAAGTCACAATTTGTCTGTACATAACAAAACACCAAGTTCACTAAGCAGAGGAAATTCTTTGCCAAAAAACAACAACACTTAAGTGAACACCACAGATGAAGAGGGAAAAAACAACATGCATGAAGAAAGGCAAATAACATCAAGTAAATTTTATTTATATAACATTTCAACATAGCAAAGCTATCTAAAGTGCTTAATGTAAAATAAAAATTAAAAGAGAAAAGGAAACACAAGAAAAGAAAAAAACCAGAGACAATAACACAACAATGAAATGAAATTAAAATGCTAAAGGAGAAATTATACGTTTTCAACCTCGATTTAAAAATGGTAATGGAAGGTGCAAGGCGACAGTCTAGAGGCAATTGGTTCCACAGACGAGGGGCAATGACTGAAAAGGCTCTGTCACCCTTAGTTTTCAAACAGGAACGAGGGACAGATAAAAGAGCCCTGTCAGTGGATCTTAAAAGTCTGGTAGATGACAAAGTGATAATAAGATCTTTAAGATAAGATGGAGCTTGATTGTTTAGAGCTTTAAAAACAAACAGCAGAATCTTAAACTGAACTGGAAGCCAGTGAAGCAAAGCTAAAATTGGAGTGACATGGTCCCATTTCTTTGCACCAGTCAGCAGCTGCATTTTGTACCAACTGGAGGCGTGAAAGCGATGACTGAGGAAGACCTGAGTACAGTAATCTAAACATGAGGTAATAAAAGCATGAATAACCTTCTCCCAATCTTGAAAAGACATTAAGTTTGTAGATGACCCATAATTGATAAAAACTGTTCCTAACAGAATTAATTTGTTTGGACAAACATAATTCTGAGTCTGATAACGCCCAGGTTTCTAACCGGTGAGGAAATGGAGGGGAAATGATTGCCCAGCTCCTCCATATCCATTCTCATTTTGGGGGGACCAAAAACAATAATTTCTGTTTTGTTCTCATTGAGTTGGAGAAAGTCATTTGTTAACCATTTTTTTAATATCTGAGATACATTCCAGCAATGGTTGCATGGAATCACCTGCTTTTAGTTCGAGGTACAACTGCGTATCATCAGCATATAAATGAAACTAAACATTGTGCTTCCTGATAATATCCCCCAGAGGGCGCATATATAAGTTAAAAAGCGGCCCCAAAATAGAGCCCTGAGGTACTCCACTAATAATTGGGGCAGATGAGGAAAACTTGCCTAGCTCCACAGAAAAAGACCTGTCTTTGAGATATGAGCTGAACCATTGGAAGGCTGTGCCCCTGATACCGATCAGATGTTCTAAATGGCAAATAAGAACATTATGAGTCACGGTATCAAAAGGCAGCTGTAAGATCCAGTAGAATCAATACCACATTTTTACCGGCATCAACTGCAACCAAAATATCATTGAACACTAAGTAAAGCAGACTCCTTACTGTGATAAGCAGTGAAACCAGATTGAAAAGGTTCTAATAAATTAGCTGCATTTAAGAATGTGATCAGCTGTAATTGCACTACTTTTTCCAAAAGCTTTGACAAAAGTGATAACTGAGACAGGCCGAAAATTGTTAAAGCAACTTTCATCCAAACCTTGCTTCTTAAGCAAAGGCTGAACAACCGCATGCTTAAAGCAGTTCGGAACCACACCAGTGTCCAAAGATGAGTTAGTCAACACTTGGACACTGGGGCCAATTACTGGAAAAGCTGCTTTTATGATCTCAGAATGAACAACATCCAGTGAAGAGTTAGTGGACTTCATTTTGTTAACGATATCGGAAAGTTCCATTAAAGATACGTGTTGAAAATGACTAAATGAAAATGGACTAGCAGGCGAGTTCAAAGACAGGTCTGAAAGCTGTTAAGTAAAAGAAACAAATGGCTCTCACTGTTTCTCAGAGCCCTGCTGACGACTCCCTAGAAAACCAGGAACTCGGATTAATTACTGAATTTGTGGAGAATAAAACCCTAGGTCTATGACAGTGTGCGCTAATCAGTTCTGAAAAATATTTTGATCTAGCTGACTTCGCAGCACTCTGAAACTTAACCAGACACTCTTTAAAAATCTCAAGAGACACAGTCAGGCAATCATGCTTCCATCTTCTCTCTGCTTTACGGCATGCCTGTCTAAGATAGCGAGCGTTGTCATCCAACCAGTAATAAGCTTTTATCTTTGGTGGTTTCATTTTAAAAGGAGCAATAGAATCTAAGATATTAGAACAATCTGTGTAAAACAGAAATCAAATCGTCAGGCCCATAGGACGCCTTTGCAGCATGCAAGATAGATTTTTCAACAGCATTAGCTAGATAATCTTCATTGAACTGAGAAACAGTCAGTGAGTTTATAAAACGAGAATAAAAACCAGCAGGCTTATTCACAGTAGCAGAGGTTACAGCAGGAACCTTAAAAAGAACGGGTGTGTGATCAGAGAAGGAAGCATCAACTACAGAAGAACCATATGACATAATAAGGTCAAGTGTGTGACCAAGAACATGAGTTGCTTGATTTATATGTTGAGAAAAACCGAACGGGTCCAAGATATTACAAAACTCAGCAACCAAAAGGACGCCCCGGGCTGCAAAGATGTATATTAAAATCACCCGGTAGCAACATACAATCATAAAACAGAAGTTAACAATTCAGAAAAAGCACTAGTAAAAGTACTTCCAACCTTAGGTGGCCTATAGATGAGAGCACAGAACAGCAGGGATGAAGTAGACTAATGCTACACACTGTACTTCAAACGATGAAAGTTAGAACAGAAACTGATTGAATTTTAAGTGACTGTTTAAAAACAATTGCAACCCCACCACCCCTACAAGCAGATCTTGGGGTACTAATAAAACAGCAGTTCGGTGGGCAAAGTTCTTCAAAAACTGACAACTCCCCAGCACCGGCCCAAGTCTCAGTCAAGAACAAAATGTCCAGATCCCAACAGGTAAAAAAAGTCATGTAGAATGAAAGGTTTATTGCATACAGACATAGCATTCACTAAGGCCATATTCAAAGGAGGCTGTGATGACAAGTTCAGATCGAGATGTTGAACAAAGGTCAGTTGGCAGAGATTTTAACAGTTCACTCCTCTTTGATGAATCCGTAAACGCAGAGGAGCAGAAAAAAAAAATAGATGAGTGAAAATCGGGAGATGAAAAATATAATCCCATGAACGTCGTGACAGGTGAAGACCCCCCAAGCTTATACTATCCAGAGGAAACTCCATTGAAGACTGTATGGAAGACACAATTGCCCTTCTGATTCTCACCCGAACACCACCACGATTACCTCTCTTCCTGCAGTGCTTCCTTAAGAGAGGAACACCGCACGGTAACCAGCGAGCGCACTCCAGCACGGGTTGATTGAACGAGGATTGAGAATGAGAATGCAGAACGGGGCACAATCCACAGTAAACTCCCATACAACTTTTGATATTAAGCTAAGCTTGGCGATCGTAGGTGAGAACTGAGACTGCATGGAACCAGTGCAAAATCATGCATAAAATGAACAGCACAGATGTCAGACGAACAGGTACACCAAATTGAGACAAACAAGAGACAGAGAGAGACGGCAAGCCGGGTGCACTGGCGCCATCTTGTTTTAGTATATAGGCTAAGCTTCTCACCTGATGGCATTTCTCTTGATGCAGTTCAGCGATCACATTCAATCAGCTTCACATGCTTTCTTCCACCTTCAACAGGACGGTTAACAAACCAAAAAATAACTCCTAATAGGCTCATAACATTTATTACTAGATATAGGTTCTCATTTATTTAAAAGAAAAAAAAACATACACAAGGTATATAATCACATGACAAATGAATGTAGAAGAAAACGGCTTACCTTTCAATGACTAAAGCAGGTATATTTTCAAGCATGGCAATCTCTTTCAGCATCCTTACACCACAACTGCCATCTCATACTGACAAATGTGGCCCATAGCTAGTGGGCATTTATAGTGATGGGCAAAACCATTGACAGTCACGCAAGCTAACAGAAATTAAATTAATCAAAAACTAACCTATATAACTATAATCAACAAATTATTTATCAGTCATGTATACAAATTCCATCATTGGTAAGGCATTCAAATAAAAAAAAGAAAAAAGAACAACCCTTTTTATTTTTTTAAATAACAAACAACCCCCTTCATCCTCTGCACTTGGTTTCTCCCACCTCCCATAATGCACCACAGCACAGATATTCCAGACATTGCATTCACATAATGTATCTCATAACCCTGTACACATAATGCACATAACGCATTCACATAATGTATCTCATAACCCTGTACACATAATGCACATAACGCATTCACATAATGTATCTCATAACCCTGTACACATAATGCACATAACGCATTCACATAATGTATCTCATAACCCCAAATTCCATCATTGGTAAGGCATTAAAATTTTTAAATAACTAACAATCCCCTTCCTCCTCTGCACTTGGTTTCTTCCACCTCCCATAATGCACCACAGCACAGATATTCCAGACATTGCATTCACATAATGTATCTCATAACCCTGTACACATAATGCACATAACGCATTCACATAATGTATCTCATAACCCTGTACTTCAGTTACATCTGATCAAATGCACATTAACATTCTTTTGCTTGGGTTGAACACATAATTTTTTGCTTAGTTGGAACAGCAGCTACGCTAATTTTTTCTCTATTTCCTTCTCTGTTTCTGCCACGGGATTGGCATCATGTGGTAACTAGGAATCGCACAAGCTTCAGTCTGGATCCAGCCCTTACAAAGACCTGAGATGACCGAACCCCTGAGAAGAGATGATGCAGACCCCTCAGACAACATACAAAACTACCAAATTTTGCTATAAGTTTGATTGCAACATATAGTCATTGCTGTTAAAAGTGTTCACCATCTGTTTGATTACATGTCATTGACTAACTGCTTGATTTTACCGTACATTTCTGCCATATGGACATCAACTTGAGATAGTCACCACTGATAAGATATTGCTAAATATAATGTAGAAACTTACATTTTCTGTAAAGCTGATTTGCAACAATTTGCATTGTGAAAAGACATTGCAGCAGTGCCTTTGGTTTTTCATCTGGTTTCCAGTAAATTGACACATTTTGGCTGGTTTGGATTATATTGTGCTGTTCTTCTAGTGGTGGTGAGATTAAGCTTCATAATTTTGTAACTTGGGCGGTGTTTTGTTGAACAGAGGGAAATTATGGAGTTATTTAGACTGGATAAAAGAGGATGAAAGTGATTAATATGGACAGGACAGAAGGCAGTGGAAGTTTAAAAACAATATTTCTCTTCCACTGGTTTCAGGCTGAGTGGATTCCCCAAAAGTGAACCCTTTCTTGAAGCACTGCAATCAAACAAAGCTTTGAACGTCACCAGTGATGTCACTTCACTAAAACAATACAAGCCGATACAATCAACTGTCAGTCAGATTTGAGGGTGGGGTTTATTGATATAGTCAGAGAGTATGACACGCCCACTACTGGTGGAAAACCAAGTTTTCATTTTTATTCATTCCTATGAGGAAAATAGGGACAAATATCCATTAAATGTGTCTATCTTTGCAACTAAAATGTTGTTGTGCAGTTTTTTGTTTTTCTTTCACTTCAAACAAAGCCAGAAACCTGGAACTAAATATTTATCACCTGCAAACAAAGGAAGACTGTTCTGGTTGCAAGCAACGTCAAGAGGAAATAAAGATAGATCAGTGGAACCTCTCAACTGAAGGGGGTCGCACAATGGATGAGAAGCACAGCGCCGCATCACATCTTTAAAATTCGCACTGTTTTCTATGTGTGAATGCACACATGTCTGAACATGCCACAGAGCACCACTCACTACTTTTACAGTAAATCACATTATATTTGTCCCAAATTGTTAATGTACATAATGACTTCATCCTAGGCTGGAAAATCTTGTATTGTGCATTTTTCAGCAAAATGTTAATCTGTGGCTTGAATAAAGTCTGGCTGCTTCATATAAAGAGCTATACTAGGGATCAAGCTTTCTCTTTCCATTTGCTCCATTTTGTCAAGCACTTCAAACTCGTCGACACCACTTTGTTCATGAAGTGAACGTTTGCCTGTTTGGTGGTTAGATTAACGGTTTTGTCTTGTATGATACCTGTGAGCTGTTCTAGACGTGGCGCTGCACTGCTCGTCCTGTGTGCAACCAAAAATGATGTCTGACAATTTATTACATCAAAAAGATACAAATATAGGTTATGAATAAATTTTTTTAAAAGTATGTTGAATAAAATGCTGAAATATGAAGAATTCAGAGCGTCCTGAATTGAACAAGCTCTGCGATTGAATGTCACTACTAATGTCATTTACTTTTTTCTTTCTGATTTTAATTCATGAAGATAATTCACTGTGTCCACTGGAACTGTGATTATGATATTCATTCAAAAAATTATTGAATCCAACAACCCCAGTATATGGTTCTTCGACATTGTTCTCAAATTAATTTTTTCTAATTACATTTTTTAAATTACATTTTGTAATCATTACAGAGTAAGCACAGTAAAAATAAATGTAAAGCAATCAATACAAATTTAATTCTTTTTTACTCATTTTGTCGTTGGATAAAACGTGTAAATAGGGTCATCATGGAATTTATGATTCCACTTCTCCATATTTTTATGTTTTAATTTAAACAGTTTTTGTCCTTTAAATGCTCAAGTGTGGAACCGCATTCTTACACACCTTGTTAAGAAACAATATAAATTTTAATTTAAAAATTCAAATTGAGTTTTGATGTTTGTTATTCAGTTACTGAAGAGCAAGAGTGCAGTTAAGCACGTGTGAATGAATTACGTCTATGCTGTCAGCGGAGACCATGTCAACTAGATCCACCCTAGAGACAGATCCCCTGTGAAGACCTCATCACCTTAGGGTTAGGTGACGACCATCGGCACAAAACCACGGGAACCAGATGAGTCCTCTGCTCAATCTGACCTGTGTTGCAGCCTGGAATTAAACCACGCCATGCTGGTTTCGTCTGGCCAGAGGAGAACTGGCCCCCCGACTTAGCCTGGTTTCTCCCAAGGTTTTTTTTCTTCATTTCTGTCACCGATGGAGCATTGGTTCCTTGCCACTGTCGCCTTTGGCTTGCTTAGTTGGGGACGCTTGATTGATTGCACAGACACTATTGGAAGAGAGCTGAACTGGAAGATGACATCACTGAATCATCAATGAACAGACTTAAACTGGAAAAAATTACTCTGTTATTGTTTTATTGCATTATTAACAAACTATTTTCCTGTTTGACACTGTAAAGCTGCTTTGACACAACCAGTAATGTACAAAGCCCTATACAAATAAAGGTGACTTGACTTGACTATATGAAAAACTTTATAAAGACTTATACTAATCTTTTGTTTTGAATCAGTGGTTCAAAGCATAGAAGTTCACCAAACTGGCCAAATCATCTGATTTCAGCAATCAAAGCTTAGTCCTTCCTAAATCCCTCCTAATAGGGGCCTATGGTAACAAACCAATATATAGATAATAATAAATAATAAAAAAAATTAATAAATAAGAATGAAAACAGACTTAAACTGGAAAAAATTACTCTGTTATTGTTTTATTGCATTATTAACAAACTATTTTCCTGTTTGACACTGTAAAGCTGCTTTGACACAACCAGTAATGTACAAAGCCCTATACAAATAAAGGTGACTTGACTTGACTATATGAAAAACTTTATAAAGACTTATACTAATCTTTTGTTTTGAATCAGTGGTTCAAAGCATAGAAGTTCACCAAACTGGCCAAATCATCTGATTTCAGCAATCAAAGCTTAGTCCTTCCTAAATCCCTCCTAATAGGGGCCTATGGTAACAAACCAATATATAGATAATAATAAATAATAAAAAAAATTAATAAATAAGAATGAAAAATTTATTAAATAGAGAATAAGGGAAACTAGAGCGAATGTCAGACCGGTTGGCCTGCGGCAGCTTGACTGCTGTGGCACACTGATAGATCAAATGGATGGCAATGACTTCATCACTAGAATAGATCTAAATCTAGCGCTGAACCAATACTTACCCTAAACCTAACATTCATAGACCGATGGACCTGAAACCCTTGAGTCCGACGCCCAGATGGGCTAATCTCCTAGACAGGAACAAAACAAAGGCAAAAGGAGTATAGTCTAACATGTGTCATTAATACATAACCATTATAATATCTTTACTTAAACAAAAAAAATAGATTTTGGAGGAAATGCGATGCCTGACCAGGATTAGCAAACTAGTAGCTTGATTTGCTGGCCCGGACTAAGCCAAGAGCGAAAAATTCGTATTACTCCATTTAAAAGAATACTAGGCCAAAGCAGGCAGCAACCTTAAGGGGACAACTTCCCCTTAAAAAGACAACCTCCCAGCCCGAATAGGAATCAAAGTTCATCCACTCTCACAAACATGCGCTGGCCCGTGCCTTTCCTCGACCTCCCTACTTCAAACTGGTGAGACTGTGATGGGGGAGATCGTTGTATTCTCAAAAAACCTAACCCTAACCCTTTTCAGAAGTAAGATATGGTGTTAATTCACCAGAAAATATCAGTTCTGGGGCCACATTTATAAAATCTGCATATGCACAGATTTAATCTTAGAGTGTGCGTACGCTAAAATCTATCAACATTCATATTTCTATAAATGCTCTTTGATGTGGAAAAGTGCTTCACACCATATCAGGGTCTAAGCAGATGTACACATCTCTCGCTGTGGCAGAGCGTCACAGTACTGCAGGTATTTGGAGATCTAAGCAGTTCTGGTTACCAGGTTGGGTAGATTAAGTAAAAGCTTGTTTCAAGATAAATAAGCAGAAGGCAAATATTGCAGATCATTATGCTTAATAAATCTAGAGAAGCAGAAATCTTGATCATCACAATTAAAATATGATTGCAGTCCTATCTGAACTAAACCAACACTGAACTGACTTGAGCTAATTTTGCATAATGTTTAATAATTAGTAATACAAATATTGATTTTTTTAATGTACAAATATATGC